TGTAATGTAATGTAATGTAATGTAATGTAATGTAATGTAATTACAGCTCCCTGGTCTAATCTAGACTTAAGTACTAATTTTTGGTGAATTGTTTGAAATGTTTCTTTCATGGAATCATGGAGGTAAAAAAAATTATGACACTATCAGTGTTTCTGTTGTTGTTGTTTTGCTATTGATGTAAACAACATGCAATAATTTGGGGAGCATTTATTGGACAATGGTTATAATGTGACGTATATAAGTAATAGTAAACGGAAACCAGTGCACTTAGTCTAGCAATAAAACATTACCGGGTTTTAATTATACATGGACTCACGTCGTTTGTGACAATCACCTGGATGTGTGTACTAAGCCCGACCCCGAAACGAAATTCTGCAATTGCGTTTGTTATTTTTTGCAATATGTGTGATCCCGCTTTTTTTTTTCAAAATGCGGAGTCTCTTAATGTTTTGTTTTTTAATAATGGCTCCAGAGTTGTGCAACAAACACTGATAATTTACATTTCTTTGTATTTGTATGTTGTCTGTTTTAAAGGGGCACCTTCCAGTAAAGCCTAATCTCACAACAAATTTATTTTCTGGGTAACAAAAGATAGATTAACATTTTAAACAACATAAACAATAGTGTCCCATGATCTTTTGATGTTTTAGTGTGCATATGTATGTTGTCTGTTATAAGGTATATGTTTTAATATGTACTACTAATATTTTATATTTCTTTGCTTACTTATTGTTTTATTGTTACTGATGTTTGTTACTTGTTGTTGTTGTTGTATGTTTATTGACCATATATAATGTAATTCAATGCATTATTTCGTGCCAAATAAAATATACTATACTATGTTTTAATATGCATATATATGGCGTCTGTTATAAGGTATATGTTTTAATATGCGTATACTAGTATGTCTTGCCTGTTGTAAGGTACATTGTATATGTTTTAATATGCATATGTATGTTGTCTGTTATAAGGTACATTGTATATGTTTTAATATGCATATGTATGTCGTCTGTTATAAGGTATATGTTTTAATAGGCATATTTATGTTGTCTGTTATAAGGTATATGTTGTAATGTGCATATGTATGTTGTCTGTTATAAGGTATATGTTTTAATATGCATATTTATGTTGTCTGTTATAAGGTGTATGTTTTAATGTGCATATGTATGTCGTCTGTTATAAGGTACATTGTATATGTTTTAATATGCATATGTATGTTGTCTGTTATAAGGTATATGTTTTAATATGCATATTATGTTGTATGTTATAAGGTATATGTTTTAATATGCATATTATGTTGTTTGTTATAAGGTATATGTTTTAATATGCATATGTATGTTGTCTGTTATAAGGTATATGTTTTAATCTATATATGCCAGCCTATATCAGTCTACGTCCAATGATACTTATTTATTCTGTAAAGTTGTTAAATTGATCTTATACTCTTATTAATGTAAGAAATTACGATCGTCTTAACTTGATATATAAACAATTCAGTGCATGGTGACGACATAATCAACTAATAAAACCCGAGCAGCATTTCTTTGATCCATGACGAGCGGGAGCCTTTGCTTTCTTGACATCAACACAGTTGCTTTAGACACGATGCTACAGCCACTGTCAGTACGTGTTATGTCAATCAATATAACTTATTGATTTGTCATTCCAATTGGTTATGTCACCTCGTAATTACGTTCCATCCCCCGTCATGAAAGACCCGGATGAATGCACTCTCGTAACTGTATAGAAATCTACCAACTTTTACTATTAATAGCGTCATTGTTTACTCTCTAATTTACATGTACTGCAAAATATGTCGTATTCGCTCAGTTGAAGACAGCGAACAGAGTCTGTTTAACAGTATAACACCGGCTTGCTCCAGGGATACTGGCATATAAATGTCACCACCACATTGCACGCAATGAAGTGGGCAATTGCGTATAGGCTAAGATATAAGTACGTTCTCAGTTTCCATGGCAACTAATGAGGGTGTAAACTACACTCATTCGAGTTGTGTAATGGATGGTAGTAACCAAAGACAGAAATTGCAGTTTGATTTACGCACACCTGAGCTGAACATCATGGAGAGAGATAGCAAGGAGACAACCGCGGTGAATTCTAGCGTCAACTTCTTGCAAGACTCACATGGCCCAAGAAGACGGATAAAAAGTGCAACTTCGTGCATCGATCGAAACAACAATCGTTTTCCGACTGTCGATAAACACCGCGTGAAACGTCCCAAATCAACGACGATGGAAGATTTGGACTACAGACGTAAAAATTGGGGTACATATTCCGCACGTTCTCAGGCTACTAAGAAACAGGAAACACGTGTTTTCGTTCAGAACATGGTGGAAAACATGAGAATGGAATCGAGAGCTCGTCGATTGAGCAGAATGACAGATAAGCAGAAAAGTGAGATGCGTCACAAACATCGTTCAGAATGTCTGAGCGCACACAGCTTGGTGACGTGGCTGCGTGCAGAGAGGAGGAAGAGAGCAGAGTACGACTCCTGGGAAATGGTTCGGAGGAAAGAACAGGTATGAATTCTGAATTCATCTTAGGTACTCCGTTGATTTTAGACTCACTTTATATATTTTACGTCGGCGACTATATGTTTAACACTAACAGAATTAAACCATTCCGTTTATTTACGGGAACTAAAATAATCACGTCATGAGACAATCGATAAATTCTTTTCCATCACATAAATGTGTTTTATTAGGTGTAAAACATCGATACCGTGACCCACTACCGATTTCCGTGATCAATGGCCCGAATCCCTTCTTTGTATAGCCTCCACGGGACACGGTGTGATTCACACTAAGACTCTAATGTCAGTGATTAGTACTGGACGTACCAGCATGTGTTATGCTATTGCACGGCAGGTATACGTAGGGCCCAAGGATGATCACTTCCTAATTATTTTCGATAGCGTTAGTATGTTAGTTCAGCGGTTTTCGAAATGGTCATGTTTTCTTTTTGTTTTGTTTTTTTGAGAAATACTGGATTCAAGGAAGTACGATCTCTACAATATCACAAAAAGAATCAAACTTAGGTATTTGAATTTTTGAAACATAAAATGTAGATGTAATTGACAGAAACATACACTGTATGTAGTTCAACCGAAATCCTAACTATTGGGAGAGACAGGATGTCCGTGTAGGTAGTATGCCTGGTATCGTGTCTATGTGTTTTGTTATAGCTCGCATTGTCTGCATTCCCTTTCCAAACTCCAAGTATTGTACAACACTATAGCATTATGTTGTACGAGTCAGTCATCACGCTACAGCACACACTCCAATATGTGTATATCACATACAAAAAACACGATAATATGAGAAATGTCGGCAGTGATTGTGATCGCAGTACGTGTACGTATTATTAGCCCCAGTCCTAAGATAACCAGACTTATTCCCTTGTACGTATTCAGGGTGTACCGGAATGTCAATTAACATGACTCACTCTCTGCACAGTACATAACAGTAAAAATTATTACTATAATTATTCAGCGTAATCAGACGGCTCAGCTTTCAGTATTCTCAATTTGGTTTAATCTAATTACTTTTATCCGGAGACATGTCAATTAATTCCACCCCATTTGGGTTGACATGTTATTGTCGCCATGGCAATGAATCAATAGTTCCCCGCTTTCATGTTTAATAGTTTTAATGTGGTTTCTGTCATTAATGGAAAGTACAAGACTAAAGATGGATTACGTAACCAAATGTTCGCGGATCGTTACTGTTAATGGTGATTTATCACCCTCGCCTTCGTCTCGTTCAATCACCACTCTAACTCTCCTTATAGTAAAGTACGCATAGTGTATATACAGTAATAACTAATAAAGATGGATACTGATGCAATTAGACAACTTAATTAAATGGAAATAATAGTTGTCGTCAATGGTTTAATATTTAATTTGGAATTATCAACATGGATGGACATGAACAGCACTTAAAGCATATACCCATGCACTTTGTGTTATGTCTTGGGAATGAATTACTGAGAAGAGATAAAATTGTCTTCGTCGTTCAAGAATTGTACTTTGAAAGAGTCATTTGACTACATGTACTAACCTGTTTACAGTTACCTATCAGGATTACATTTCATAATCGAAATGACTAGATTCTTAAGGGATAATGGTCCTTACCCTGGGTGAGTGTGATGCAGACGAATGGGGGGGGGGGGGCTGTATCTCGTTGTGTGTGCCAAAGATGCAATGAGAAGGGAAAAGCTACTTTAGCGTTTGTACAACAATGATTAGTTCTAAATAAAAATATGTATTTTACCTAACTACAGCGTTGTATATTAAAATGCGTGATGATATAGGGTTAGGTTGTACGTAAATAAATCTTCTGTATTACAGGCTATTTGTCGTTATTACAAGGAAATAATATTAACAATTTTTTAACTTCATTACCAACGTTTACCTTGTTAGCCATTACTCTATTTTAAATTGTTCTGTATATGTCTAAAATTATTCTATCAACGACATATTATTAACATTATAAGACATAATTATATTGTCGGGTCATAATAACATTACAAAAGTTAATATTGTATATATAATATAATAGGGATATTTATTATCTTTGCATTCTAGGCCGTAAACTATTCCGCAGAGCGATACGAATAGTTTCTCTTTTCTGTTACATAAAAATGCGAATGAAAGAGATTTCTATTCAGAAAACGGTACAGACAGCAACGGAAGTTCACTACCATGTTGTATTTCACAGTAAAGAAGCGGAAGAAATGGCTTTCAATAGGGCCAACTTTATGAAAGGATCCAAGGTACGCCCCTCGTTCATTGCATTGACGACACACTGTTATTACGTGATTTGTATGCGCATTGGATTGCAATTTTATTGTTTTTATCGTAATTACTTGTTCCTTTTAAAATCTTTGCCTGACACGCGACATTTTCGCGTCAGAACCAGATTTTACAAATTCATTCTTGAAAGGAATCATGGTATAACAACAATAATATTGCCACGGCTAGGAAGTCTGCTACATTAAATACTGACTGTTTTCAATCGATGTGTTGTTTTGATTCCAAATAAACGTCTCAAAGTTATATCACTTTTGTCCATCAGCAATATCCCAGTGTACCAGAGTGGGCGAAGGATATCATGGTAAAGCCACCCATGGAGCGTAATGAAAGTGAACTTCGCAAGATACACGCTCTTCTCAGAGGTCTCAAGAGTTTTGATAAATTCACTCACAATATACAGATTGCTATGTGTCAGTCTTGTACGTATGAAAGGTGGGTAAATACTACACGGCAGTCAAAATCATCTTTGTTCATTTGAGACCTATATCTCGCGCATGCGTGTCGCGACGAGCATCGATTATTCTAATGACCAGATTAGTCGTGATCAGTGTTCTGATGCACTGTGGTGCCATTTTGAATTGCATTTCTCCTGCATTTGACTTCATTGTTCCGTTTCATGTTGGTTTTGAGTAATTGTCTTCGGGCATTTAAATTGAAATGTGTACCGTCTTGTATTGTCACTTTCACTGGATGTCCCTGTCTGGCATCCATACAGTAGGCATCCATACAGTAGGCATCTGGTTCATTTTATTTATCTGCGTTATGCAGTCACGGAACTGACAGAAACGCTTCATTCCGCGTAGAGGGCGTGATTGTGGGAAAAGTCTATACGAAGTACATGTACACCCTGAGAGTCATGTGATCACTGTATTTCTGTTCTTCCTCTCAGTATTGAATCCAGGAGAGTTGTTCTAAGAAAAGGTCACGTGGGACTGTGTTTCTATTTTATCTACTCTGGCTCTGTATTTGTGAACACGGAAGAAATTCATCCAACGACTAAGGCTGTCTTTACCAAAACAGAAGCTATTCTGACAAAGGGAGATTCTTTCGGTGTAAGTTCATCATGTGGCGTTGTGTTGCTAGAAAATTTACTAACAGCGCCACCACATTGTACCTATCTCTTAGGTAATTTGAATATACAAGCCTTATTACTACAATGTTTATGGATTTTTCGCGAATAGGTTTCAACTTTTTAGAATCCAATGGTGAAAGTTCCTTTACTGAACCAAATTCGAAAGTACCATACATCCCTTCGAGCCGAATATAAATTGAAATCAATACGTCTGCATTTATTTTATTAATTTTCTAGGAATTGGCATTATTGCGTGATATCAAGCGTACTGCCACCATTTCAACTCGTGGAACCTGTGAATTTTTCGTAATAGATAAAGATGTATTCAGCAGTCTCTGTCCAAAGATATTTGATCAAGAGTTAGAAACAAAAGTAAATTTTGTCGGGTGAGAAGAAATGTATTATTGATAATTTAACATAAATGCTACGATACATACATATACTACACAGAAGGCGATGAGTATATATTATAATTAATTAAATTGTAGATTCTGTAAAACACATTATTTTAGCTGGAATTCACTGAGTAGACTTTTTGGGTGTTTTGTATGGAATTTATTTTCACTGATTTTTGACTAGTCTCCATGCGATTATAGGTTTTAATGACAACCGGTAGGCTTAAATACACTCACAATTTGTGTGTAATTTCTTTGCAGGAATGTGTCTGTGTTTCGTAAACATTGGTCAATGGATGTTATAAAGAATCTTTGCAATGAAGCACAGATACAAGAGGTAACTTAATAAACTGCCAATCAAATAAGGTTTGCAGAAGGCTGAGGGTCTTTGTTGTGGATGAGTTTCATTGAATTTGTAATGACTCCAATCAAAAACGTGATTATGGGCATCTCAGATACGGGAGTAAAGAAATCGTGCGCACATGAATGAACCCTAATTTTGGAACCAACAGGAAAAATGTTATCCCAAACATCTGAAGGAAAGTGTAGGGACTATTTTGTGAATTTGAGATGAAAAGCAAAAACTATTGGTGAAACGATTAGATATAATCTATTTAGGATTTAGGGTTATTTAGGGTTAAAACAAAACTCAAACGGGTCGTAATAAAAAAACGATTTAAAATTGATAAATTCGTAAATTGTGACATTTTTGCAAATAGTAATTGTAGATTACTTAACAAGATTTCTATCTTTCTTCAATTTTCAAGTTTAAGACTAATCGGGTGATTACCTCTGACAACATGCAAGACGATTGGATATATATGTGCATGGAAGGACGGTGTAGAATTCTCAAATTTCTGTCTCTTGGTGCAGAATCTACGCAAAGTGGAGATGTAGAAAAACAAGACAGTAGTGTTATTGATTTAGCGCTGCTGATTACTGAACAGACTATTGGTAAAAAAGTTGTACGCCGCCAGGAAGACTTTCGAGGTTGGTATTAGTTAAAGCAACGTTTTATTCAATGTTACATTCTCGTTTTAGTACAAATATTTAACACAACGTCGAATACGGTAATTCATAAACCAGGTCTATTATATAAACATTTGTAAACTTGTTTACGATTTGTGCGCGTGCGCAGTGCAGTTGTTGACACGAACCAGTCGGTTGCACCCGAAGATAAAATAACAACGTTGTTCCCTGCTGTTGTTATTACTAGTAAATTTACATATATGTGTAACTGTTAATAAAACTCTCACGTGTAATATGGACATTATTGTCACAGCAGATCGCGAGAGACATTTGTTATTTATCACACATCATGATTCGAATGCTGGTTGGCATTAATGACGTCACAGTGTTTTACAAAAAGAAAAAAATAATTGTTCTTTTATTCCCTTTAGCGTGATCACGAAAACTAACCTGACCCTTTAGCGTGATCGCGAAAACTAACCTGACCCTTTAGCGTGATTACGAAAACTGACCTGACCCTTTAGCATGATCGCGAAAACTGACCTGACCCTTTAGCGTGATCGCGAAAACTAACCTGACCCTTTAGCGTGATCGCAAAAACTAACCTGACCACTAAAAGATTTCTTTCGCAGTCACGCTAGTTTTCGCGATCACGTTAAAAAGGCTAAATTGACAATTAATTATATTTTATTTTATAAAACAAAAAAAGAAGTCCCGACTTTGCCAGTCTATGCGACAGCCTATAAATTGCGTCTTCTAGAGACGAAATGTTTCTGTGACGTAATTGTAAAGAACGGCGTTCACAGCGTCAATGTTGCTTTGATCTGTAGTCGCCCATTAATGAAAAGCGCCTCGTCGATAGAAGGCCAACGTCCGATTCGCACGGTTTCGCGAAAGCCAGCCTTCCATGGCCGTCTTTTTAACCGTGAAGCGACGGCCAAATAAATGTACATTGACTGTAAAGATGTAAAAAGTTGAATGGATTGTTGCTATGTATATTTTAACGGTTTCTTTACGTCTACAGTGGAATGTAAAAGTCGTGAAGAACAGAAGAAAAATATGCTATCCGCTATGCACCTGGAATACGCAGAAAAACCGTATGCCAAAGGAGAGGTGAGCTTAGTCAGTGTTGAAACACATTGGTTAACTTGAATTTTGTTTTAGGTATAGAACAACGTTTTGTGTTCAGATCGTTTTCTTTTTCAATGTCGACGATTATCTTACAACGAGAAAAAAAATTACTTAATGTTTTAGAACATTGCAATGACCCCTGAAACCTTCTTGTTACGACTTTTCTTTCAATCTTTGGCAATTTGCATATCGAATGTCCCACTATATTTGATATGGGTGTTCGAGTTCACGCAATAGCGGAAGAAAGTCTTTCGAAGTGTTTTTCATTTTCCATACGTTGTTTACTAATTCAATGATTACAAAAGTTGTCAACAGTTGTAACCCAATGACGTCATGTCAAATCTCACATATGCCATGGATATATTGACCATACCATAACAGTGACGGATCCAGGGGGGTTCTTGGGGTGCGGACACATTTTTTTTGTATAATAAAAAAAATCATTCAAGTTAACTTAGTCTGGCGATTTTAAAGTTTGGACGCCCCCCCCCCCCCCCAATAAAACAATTTTGTATCCGCTCCTGCATATATAA